CGTCCACATTCTCCCATTGTGGATCCTGCTTCTCACTCTCGCATACGTCTACAATATAGCAGTTAGAGTTTTACGACACAGGCCGACATACAAATTCTTCAATACTTGAAGTTTGTTGAAGTTTGTTTGTGTATACTATCTCTATATTGTTGTATTGTAGGCGTATGAGAGAGTCAGAAACAGCATGCACAATGAGAGAATGTGTGCGTGGCATGAACGGTTTAATTGATGTTATTGCTTTCAACTCTAATTGATAAACTTTTTGAAATTCTTAGAACTGAAATCCACAATGAATAACGACCTTAAAAAACGAATGCCTAATATTGAAGGCATAATCCACAAGTAAATTAAAAAAAATTAAGCGTTCTGTTGTTTGTGTTATTGCAGGCGTAATCTAGCATTGAAAGCATAATATGTAATGGAGAATATTGACCTCATATCATTGTCCTAAATGAAGTTAATGTTTTGAGTTCATCTTCTAAAGTTCAAATATTAACTCAAAAACATTAACAACAAAAGGGAATTGTGATGTGACGTCAATATTCTTTATTATGTATTATTATATTATGCTTTCAATTCTAAATTTTGCCTGCTATGGCACAAACAACAGAACGTTTATACATATTTACTATATTTAGTTATCTTTTGAATTCTTAGTTAACGTCGAGCAGAGGAACGCAAAATAATGTAATGGTAAAATTGAATTTCGCAACTCCTACGAAATAACACTATACCGGCGGAACCGCCGATCAATCAAAACCGGTAATACATCTCAACATATTTTTTATTTACCAAAAAAAAAAAAAAAAAAAAAAAAAATGGGGAACCGTCAGAACCGGCCCGAACCGGCGGGTCCGGGCCCAGAACCGGTCCCGGACCGTCACTTTTTTCGGTCCGGGTCCGGGCCTCGTCCATGTGGACCGTGGACCCGGCGGCCAGGCCCGGACCCGTTGACTGGCCAGGTCTAGGTAGTGGTGGAATTGATTATTTTAATTCTATTGAAGGTTATAATAATATGGTGAGTTATTTTTGTTCAAAACTTGAAGTGTTTGTATTTGGGTTTTGTTGATGACTGTAAATTTTGGGTTTTGAATTTCCTGTGGTGCCATTTGAGCTTCGTGACTGTATTGGGATGTGAAGACTTCTCAGGATTTGATGCGGCATTGGACGGTGTGGGCCGGTAGTGGGCCTGGTGCAAGGCTTGGGCTATGGGTCCAACTACTATATATCCTTTTACTGCAAATTTATTTACAATTTTGAAGCCCAAGATAAAATCCAAACCGACTTAGGTTTAGATTTGGATTTTGACCCAATTCGTGTGAGACCTCTTTAGGTACATTGAACCTGAACGTGTGTAATCATTCACCTGTCCACCTGACCGTTTCGATGATTAGTAGGTGGAGTGAAGGTGACTTACCACCTGAAAACTGTCCATTTACAACAACCATCAGTAAGTTGTTACTGGTAGGCTGTTACAAGTTAATGACCAGAGGTAATATTTTACTTGGCTGGAAGTCTTATAAATAGGACAATGTAGAAGCTGCAGAATGCACAAGAGATACATCTCCATATCATTCTGTACAGAAAGTTTCACGCATCATATACATAATTCAGTTCTCGATTCTATTCGCGTTCGTCAAAGTTCTAAAGTCTGGTGTGCTACAGCTTCCGAGTCAATAGCCATTGTCACAGACCCATTAGCACTATACGAGACGTAATTGTTTTGCAGAAAGAGTTTACTCGTCTTAGATTTTAGTCTTTGTGCTTCTAATTTGTAATTTTTTTTCTCTTTTAGTTCATATTGTATGAATTGAACACTCCATTTCATAGGTTGCCGTGTAATCGGTACTTAATTTGTAACACAAAACATATATCCGGAGTAGTTATGTAAATGTCTTGTAAGTCTCACACACAGATCACCAAAGTCTGCAACATTTTCTTCCGTAAATTCCTCCTCATTTGTCGTCAACAATTTTGATCGTGGTCAACTGTAGGGGCGTCCAAAGATTGAGTGAAAGTGAGATAACGTAAGCTTATGTTATATACTGCACCTGAAATTATAATTTAATATATGTCTAATTTAATAAAAGTGAGATAATGTAAGATTATGTTATGCACCTGATATTAATTTAATTTATTTCACTACATCAGGAGCTGAATTGTCCAGTTTTGATGGCATTGTCACCCGACACTCACATGCACACATCACTTCCCCATGTGAATGTGTGATTTATTTATTTATTTTTTTTTATTTTTTTTTTTTTNGGTTCTGATAAATTTAATCACCACAGTAAAAGGATAGAAGCTCCACCGGATATGAGCTGAATTAATTGTTGAAATCCTTTTATCTTACTTAATTTTTATTCTATTTATATTTTTTGTATGGTAAAATTGTAAAATATGTCTAATAATATGGAGCATATTGCAATTTTACCTTGTAACTTGTGCCTTACCAAAAAATGTGTACAAATTAATTAAATCGCAGACATTATTTTTTTCCTTATGTAGGTCAGTTAATTGATATTTTTTTTTGTATTTTTTTCACTATTAGTTAGTTGATTAATTTTGCTTAACTTTTGCATTTATTTGCATATTACACATGCCCCATTTTTATTAGTTAATGATACTTTTCTAACATCACAAAAGCAAATTTATCACATGTCCTAAATTATTAGGTATATTTTATAATTTTGTGTTACGCTTAGATTGATTTTGGATTGTGATTAATTGTGTTTAGTCGAGATAGAATATTCTCAATGTAAATTTGACTAATTAATAATATATATAATTGCTAATTGTTTGGTAGTTGATATTTTTTGATTGATGATCTTTGGTGTATACTGTGAACACCATGCTGCATGTAACATATTAACAGTGATGCAAATGATTTTAGAACTAAGAACAATAGAACCTGGTTTGAATAAGGACAAGAGATTTAAATTAAAAGCTTAATTATGTTTCAAACTGAATGTTAAATATCGAATAATTGTTTTCATGTATTGGTAATATTTGACAATGAAATTGTATTTAATGAAGTCGGCCGAAGACACAATTCAATCAATTAATTGAACTGTCACTATATCAAGGTCTGAAGATGTCAAAGAAAAGATTTGCTGATTAAGACTGCACATGTAAAATCTAATCATTATTAGGGTTAAGTAAAATTTATTTGCCCTTTTGGACTATGTAAAAAATATTTAGTCCATAATCTTGAATCCCAATATTTGGGTTGCCTCAGCATATACCTCGTGCGTAATACCACATCAAATGATCAAATCTGAAAAAATGGGTCGGAGAAGTAAAATACGTAATGTGTAAAAGAAGATAAATATAAACGGAAACGGTAATTAACAAATATGTTTTTGGGGAGCGTCCCATCACCACTCAAAGTTCTTTCATTAACAAATTAGTTATCTCCCACAATATGTAGTTTAAAATTACAAGTAAATAGCTCACTCCTGAACCTACCACAACTATACCCGATCTTACTAACTACTTTCATGGCCATAACTTGGACTAACAACTATTAACGAAGTCCCTCCAAGTTGACAATACCCAAAAGTACAAAGGTCTTATGCTTCAGTCTGTGGCGGAACACAAAACTGAAATCCTGAATTCACAAACTTTAAAATATCATCAACAATCTCACGAACTCTCAAAGAATAGACTAACTCAATATGCTCAGGAGAGGACAATAAAATCTTAACTCTTTTATGTCTAGATTTCGTGATCTAATGTATATAAAGAATCTGTGTATGTGATTTGAAGATCATCAAAACGGAGTTTCAAAAATCGTGCATGAACATGACTTTTCCTAAAACAGTTTATTTTTCAAATCTAAGAGATCTTGCTGTCAAATCTTTATAAATCCGCTTTAGATCTTCTCCAAAACGTTTAAGGTCATTCATGTGTGAGTAGTTCATCCTTTTATAGTACTTTGACACATCACCCAAATCCTCTTTAGATCTTTTCCAAAATGTTGATGATCCTTCATATGGGTAGCTCATCATTTTATGGTCGTTGCCTATATTCCTTGTACTACAAGAGAGGAAAGCTAATTATACTATAAAATCAAACTTATAATGCAAGTTGCATACATGGTAATTGAATATATATATAAGATATATATTATATAATTCTTTTCCTAAGGTTAGGATTCCATATACATAACATAATAAATATACAACATATATTGTTAATAATAAATATCTATGAACTTAATTCAAAAGTAAATAAATAAAAAACTTCCATTTAACAAGTCCATGTTATCACAAACGTTGAATTGCTGATTTTAGTAATATTATAACAATAAGAGTGAATACTTGTCATGTATTTTCGGTTAACCAATTTATAAATTAGTCTAATAACTCTTAATTTTTATCAGTAATGCTGAGGAGCCAACAACCAATAGGACAGCTCCATGTGGGGCTGTCCCACATAGCTCCAATGTGGGACAACCCCACATGGAGCTGTCCTATTGACTGTTGGCTCCGTAAAAGAGCCAACAGTTGACTCCGTAGCATCATTGAATTTTTTATACGTTACCGAGTCGAATGCTTGGGCAAGAATTGGTTATATGGGACACCTTATTTTTCTCACTTAGTTAAGTTTTTTTTTGTTCCAAACATCAAATATTATAAAACGCAAAACTCAAAGTCAAGTACAAACCGAACTTCCAAATGGAAATTACGAACCCAACATCGAAACAGCTCGACATGGGACGCAAAGGTAAGGCTCATAGAAGGCCCACCTGAGGGACCAACATGGCCATAGAACCAGAAACATAGAAACCACTACAAACTAGAAAATTACAACCAAGTGCTATTTACAAGAAATAAGACACAAAATAAATAAAACTACCCACTAAGAGACATGACTGAGGAGGGAAAAAGAGATAGAATGGTGCAAATATCAGCTACAATAGCATTTAATCTCCAGCAGCTTTGCTTGTCAGAAGTTAGTAGCATGAACATGTTTTTATCATGGAAACTTAGGCTCACCTTCTGCCAACCTTCTCTCAGTCCTTTCTCCAGCCAGTTCTTTAGTTCTAGAAGTGTTTCATCCACTGGTAGCTTGATCATGGCTTCCCTAGATGAAACCCATCTATCCACTTCAACTGATCCAACCAAAGCAGTACCAACAACCTGCCTATAAGATACAATGGGCATAACAATACTGGGAGCCTGTGGGGCATCCCCTATTGCCTGAGAATCACTTATTTGAGACATGCCCCTGCCAAACCGAACTTCTTCAAACTCTAACCACTCAGCTTTTGCCTTTTGCACCAGTTCCAGCTTTGAAATGATGTCTTTTGTGAAGATCCATGCATTCCTGGTTCTCCACATCCACCAGAGAAGGTAAGTGGAGAGTGATACTCTGTCTTTGTTATAGGCTGTGTTCTTGAGGCTACAAAGGTCATCCCACCATACATCCATAGATGCCTGCTCACATTGCACACTATTCCAATGAAGGCCTGCAATTTTCCATACATTCTGGGCTCGAATAAATCTGAAAAACATATGATCTAATGTCTCCATGTCCTCTCCACAGCAACAACAAATAGAATCATGAAGAATACCCTTGAAGTGTAAGTTGCTGCCAGTTCCTACCCAGTTATGAAGGCACCTCCAAATGAAATTCTTAACTTTGGGCTTGATTTGGAGTTTCCATAGCTTTTGCCATTTCATGTGCCTGTTTGGAGAGCCACTGCTGGAACTAGCCTCAGAGATAATCTTGTTCTTTTCCTACTGTATGAGTTTGTATGCATCTCTGACAGTGAAGAGTCTCTTGATATTTGAGTGCCATATAAGTCTATTTGGTAGTCCCCAGCGGCTGATATGTGTTTTCAGAATAGACTCAGCATCAGAGAGTGTGAAAGTTTGAAGAATTAGCTCTGAATCCCAACATCCTTTCCCCACAAGCATAAGATCTGAAACCAATTGCAGCCTGGTTTTATCATCCACAAAGCAGCAAGTAGGTCCGAAATTATTTGAATTTGGGAGCCAAGGGGAGTCCCATATTCTGATAGACTGGCCATTTCCTACTTGGTACCTTAATCTCAACATCAAAGACTACCTTAATCTCACTTAGTTAAGTTATTTCTAAAGAAAACAAAAAAAAAAAAAAGAAAAATATTTTCTAGATATAATTTACTTCAAAATAAGTACTACTTTGCTAAGGCATCTAGTATTTTCAATGATAGAATTTCTTGAAAAAGAAATATTTTTTAGACTCATATCCAAAAATAAGTACTACTCCGCAAAAGGCATCTCGGGTTTCCAAGATAAAAAGAAAATCACGAGCTCGAGTATTGTAGTTAAATATTGGTAGCATGATGCTACAAGTGACTTGCATTGTCATTGTTAGATATATTAGTATATCTTATTCGAATCTCAATCAACTTGTAATTTTAATCAAATTAAAACAGCCCATTTCCCAATATATTCACATACTAAGCTGTCATTTTTAGGGAACTGCCACGGTCTTATTTTTGCTACAGTTTTAAATCTAAATTATTGATGGATAACTACTGGTCCACTGAGGTGATAAGCTGGGTCATCCCATCAGGTTCTGTTGTGTTTTTGTAAATTTTTGTGCATCAAGTTGATATTTGAACCGAGTCGTATTTATAGTGTTTTTTATTTAGTACAATCATAACGACAAACCTCATGTCGTTTCAAATGAAAATTAGTTGGAATTGAATTAAAACAGGTAGCAAAATCGAGTGTAAGTAAATCCTCAAATCACAATAAAAAGGAAA